ACATAGGAATTATCTTGATAAAACACAAAATCTTTGTTTCTTAGGCCAGTTATGAAAAGGTAAAACAAAACTCTTTGCACTTGAGGAAATCAGATGTAAGAGTATGCCCAGGGTAATGAGTGAACATTATAAAGGAAATAAGAAACTAAAAACTTTGGCCCTGAGCAGGGAAATATATGACTCTAAACCATTTTATAAGTTTTAGAACAATTTTATTTGTAAGAATTTATCTCATTTATATTTACCTAATTTATTTTGTTAACAGTTTCCCTCAATTACTTGTGAAAGTTCAGATATAAACTAGAAAAATCTAGTTATTATTTCAAGTTATTTTTCTGTTATCTACCTTTATAGCCTCTGAATATATTTACCTAATTAAGAACCTCATATGTTCTGATAACTCAGAAGACTTAGCTGTTTTCATTAAACCAACAATATTAAATTATTCTTGCTTATTTAAAAAAAAAATACACAAACCAATCATTTTGTTTTGGCTTTTAGATATTGATAAGCTTTGTGTCAAACTCTGACATCTTAACACAGAGGTTCTCAAACTGTGAGTCGTGATCCCTTTGGACTATATTAAAGGTTCACAGGATTAGGAAGGTTGAGAACCACTGCCTTAACATATCTAGTGGAGGCAAATGTAAAAATGACCAGTAAACACAGGAAAAAATGCTGACAATTTTGAAAACATTTTCATTTTTATCCTAATTTTTTAAATTAGCTTATTTATGAAAAGAGCACTGAATTCACGTGAACTTAAGTATTTGGCTTACTTTCTTAATTTATGAGTGCTCTTTTATTTATAAGCCAATTTGGTACTATGTAGGCATAACATAATACATGTTCATACATAAAACACATCTAAACATATAGACATACATACACAACGGGGTCGAACAGCTTTTATCTCAGAACTCTAGCCATGAGATAGTAATAATCTGCTTCTGGAATTAACAGTGTAATGCCAAGATTAACAATTTAGGCTATGAATTTTCATTGCTGTAATTTGCCCATTTGCTTAAATATGTGCCCCCAAATGAGCCATGATATATATGTAGCCAGCGAGAGTCATAGAAAACTCTGAATTTTCTCATAGTCAGTACATTTACATGTCAATACAGGTAAGCATTCAATACAAAGAGAAAGTCAAGAGATACGATCAGATAGCTAACTAGGCATAAGTAATGTGTGCCTGCTCCATGGAGAGGAACAAAAGTAGTAAGCAGACTCCCATGTTTCAAATAGATAACCTAAAAGAAAATGCTAAGATTCATAATGGGAAGCACCAAAAGTGGGTAAGAAGAGAGTTCAGGGCAATTTGTCTGGTCAGGGACTGGCTAAGAGCTGGGTGAAACTCCTGGATGTGGAGAAACAATAAGAGAAGCTTACATACAGGGCACCACACTCTGAGATGAGTTTTTAATATCTTGGCTATAAGACAACTCTCAACCCATCTAGGTCTCAGATCTGACACAGGGAGTTCCTTGGAGATTGCACAGGGACATGAAGGGACTCCCACATAGAATCCCTCAAGCATCCAAGTCCAGAGCAGCTTGAGCTAGGTGTCATTCTGAGAGTGTTAGATACCAGAGAACTATGGGTATAACCTGAAGCAATTGCATGGTGCAAGGAGAGCTAGAGGAGCTCAAATATTCCCACACATGCTAGAAAGGTTACTGTTGCCCTCCTGCAGGCTGCTGTTGAAACTGAGAAGTGAACAGCATTTTCCACAATTTTTTACCCAAACTTTTTGCCTAGAAGGGGCCCTCGCCTTTCTGGTCACAGACTCAAGGTGGCATTTTTGAAATTTTGACACTGGCTGTGTCCTGATCTCAGACTGAATTTAGGCTGACACGGCTGCACCCCTGCTTGGATGGGGAAAGGCAGGGAAACAGGGCTTTCCAGAGTGCAACTGGGATGGTCCCCACCATCCTACGGCAAGCTGCTGTGGGACTAAGTCTAGAGTGAAGTGCACTACCCAGTTTCCTGCTACAGCTGCCTGCCTGGAAGTATGCCCAGACTCTCTGGTCATAGGCCTCATGTTCTATTTTGGGAGTTTAAAGCTGGGGCTGAGTTCAGGCTAACACAGCTATAGCCCCCACAGAGCTGAGGGATGACAAGGGAGCCCAAGCTCCCATAAACACACCTAGGATAATCTCCATCACCCTGCTATAGGCTTTTGTGAGACTGAGACATGAGCTGACTCCAATCCCAAGTTTCTTGCTCATGCAGCTTGCCGTAAAGGGGCCACTTTCATAGAAAGCCCATAGCTGGTGTTATTTTGAGAGATTAATGCTGGGCTATACCCTATCCTTGGTCTGAGTTGAAAATGAAATAGCTGCAGCTGCCACCCAGCTGGGAAAAGACAAGGAATAACAAGCTCTTCTAAGCATGCTTATGATAATATCCACTGCCCTGTTACAAGCAGCTATGGGACTGAAGACTAGACTTCCCAATCCATTGTAGCTGCCAAAAATACCAACTTGGATCATTTGAATCCAAGAAGATGGCTCCCTTACCACTATTGCAAATTCCCTCATCACATCAGCTGCTCAGAGAACCTACTCACATAATCATCCCTTGGCTCCAACTATTGGCTTCTGAGCAAGTCACTGAAAGCCAAAAAATTGGCCCCCAAGGGCACGCTAACACTGCTGCTAGTGTAAGCTGCTCTGGATACTAAAATCAGGCATACTCCTTCTACCACTGGGGCCTCCAAACCGGCTTGGGTGGCATTAAAGTCCTAAGCAAAACTTTATCACAGAATCAACTCATAACTTTACTTTAAGCCACCAGGAAATCACAGAGACCACTGACCTTATGTACTTACCAAGAGATCATACAAAGGTCACTCTATAGCAGACACCAAAATTAAAACCAAAGTGTTCTACGCAACCAAAAACATACATACATCTTTAGAAAAAAATTTTCTCCTTCAAAAACAATTAAAAAAAAATTGGAACAGGTATGCTGCCTGAGAGTAGGACACAGGTACAACAGGGACCTTACCTAACAAATGCAAACACTGTAACACAATTCTTTGTTCATATTAATATGAAATTTAAAATAACTGGAATAAGCATATGCTATATAAGGACACAGGAAATATGAAAAAGCAAGGATTATGATATCGAAGGACAACAATTGCCTATCCATGAGTCTCAATCAAAAATAATTCTTGAAAATGCCAGATAAAGAATTCCAAATATTGATTCTAAAAAAGCTCAGTGACATGCAAGAGAAATCTGAAAAGCAATACAAAACAATCAGAAAATCATTTGAACAAATTATTTTTTTAAAGTGAGAATTTACCCAAGGGATAGATGTCTTAAGAACAACAATAACAATAAAATTCTGGATCTGAAAAATTCATCAAAGGAAATATAAAACACTTTTACAAGCTTCTAAATGGACGAGAGCAAGCAGAATAAAGAATCTCAGAACTTGAAGACAAGTCTTTCTAAATAATCCAGTCAGACAAAAATAAAAAATTTAACCAGTTTGATGAAAATATTTCAAATTGTATATAAAACCAGCACATTGTACCCCATGACTGCATAAAAAAAAATAAGAAAAAATAATTTAAAAGAATGAACAAAGCTTTTCAGATAACCTGGTACTACATAAAGTAACTGAAACTTATGAGTTATTAATATTCTTGATGGGGAAGACAGATCAAAAAGTTTATAAACCTGTTTAAGGAAATAATCAATACAAACTTCATAGGAATACCAAGAAAATTAGACATTCAGATACAAGAGGCTCAAAAATCTCCAGGTAAATACACTAGAAAAGGAATTAACTGACAACATAGTACGATTGAATGATTAATGTTAAAATGAAAGAAAGAATTTTAAAATTAACGAGAGTGTCTAGTCATCTATAAAGGAACCCTCATCAGATTGTTAACAGTCCTTTTAGCAAAAACTTTGCAGGGCAAAATGAGGATGGGAGGATGGCATTTTCAAAGTGCTGAAAAGGAAAACAAAACAAAACAAAACACCGAACCTGTCAGTCAAAGAGTTTATATCCTACCAGAAAAAGCTTCGAAAATGAAGGAGAAATGAAATATCTCCTAGACGAAAAACCACAGAAGATGGTCACTCTCTCTTAATCTTTTATCCTTCTGCTATATTCCTATCTCCTTTTCTCAATTAAACTTTATAAAAATATTTTTCTTAACTTTCTCTACCCTCTCATTCCCATTCATTCACCAACAAACTGCAAACTGACCTGCACACCCATCTGTCTCTTAAATGTACCATGAAAAAGCCACCAATGAATCCCCAATCACAAGATAACTAAGTTCCTTTCCTGACTTTATCAAACTGCACTTTTGTTTACTACACTTATAACTGCTAATCAGCTGTCTTTCTTAAAAGGCCATGTTTATGAGTTTCGATGAGAATTGCACTATTGTTTCTCACACACACCTGACCCTTTCATCTCTGTTATGTGTGGGCAGGTCTTATTTTCCCTGCTCCCTAAAGGTTGGGAATGCTGTCTTTTCCATCAGGCTCTTTGTGAGCAGTTTGGTCTAAACTCAGATCTTTAGTGCTAAACATCTGTATTTTTATCCTTTATCTTTGGTTCCCAGCTAAGTCCATTTCTATAAGTTTCAGATTAATGATCTTGTCCTTTCTTGGGTTTGCTGCTAGGAATTGAATTATATAGCCCCACAAAGATGTTGAAACCCTAATCTTCAGGACCTGTGAATATGATCTTATTTGAAAATAGGGTCTTTGCAGATGATCAAGTTAAGAAAAGGTTATTAGGGCAGTGCCTGTGGCTCAGTGAGTAGGATGCTGGCCCCATATACTGAGGGTGGCGAGTTTGAACCTGGCCCTGGCTGAACTGCAACAAAAAAGTAGCCAGGCATTGCAGCAGGTGCCTGTAGTCCCAGTTACTTGGGAGGCTGAGTCAAGAGAAGCATGTAAGCCTAAGAGCTGGCGGTGGCTGTGAGCTGTGACACCACAGTACTCTACTGAGGGCAACAAAGTGAGATTCTGTCTCTAAAAAAAAAAGGTTATTAGAGTAGATGTCAATCCAATATGATTGATGTTCTTATAAATATGGGAAATTTGGACACAGACAGATGCATACAAAAAGAAGATAGGTGAAGGCTGAGGGAGAAGTCCATTTACAAGTCAAGGAATGCCTTTTAGCTGCCAGAAGCTAAAAGAGAGGCAGAGAAGATTCTTCCTCACAGCTCATAGAAGGAACCAACCATGCCAGCTCCTTAATTTCAGACTTTTAGAACTGTAGGACAATAAATTACTGCTATTTAAACCACCCAGTTTGTGGCACTGTGTTAGGACAGCTTCAAGAAACTAAGGCCTACGCTCATTTGATTATACCAATATCATCGCTAGCTCAACATGTTCTAAAGTCAAATTGTTATCTCCCCCTGAAAAGGGCTCATCTTCCTGCAGTCTCTGGCTTAGTTGTTTAAAACACTTTCTATCCAGTTCTTCAGGTTAGAGACCCAGAACTCTGTTTCCTTCTCTCTTTTCTTGCATCCATCTAATAAAATACCAATATTTTCCAATTCTACCTTATAAATATTTGTCATGTTTCTTTTCTTCATCTCAGCTCTCCTTGCCATAGTTCAGTCTTCACCACTGTCATGTGGACTTTACAGAAAGTCATTTAACTCATCTTCCTGATTCTCGAATTAGGCCAAAGTGTCTTTATTTAACAAGAAAATCTGCCCATATTAATATTGCTTTGATTGCTACCTTATTGATTATAAGATACACTTCAATTTCCCTGACATGACAAAACAAGACCTCTATATTCTGGCCTACGCACTTTCCTAAACTCATCTTCTATCCTTCCCAATTATGTATGTGGGTGATTCCCTTCAGAATCCATCCTATTTCTTGTTTTCATGCTTTTGCACAAGTTGGGCTCTAGTATGGGAAACTTACTGCAGCACTCCCTGTTAAATGTTTAGCTCAGGAATTACTTGCTGAAGGAGATGCCCTGTGCCCTTTGGCTTGAGATTGGAACCCCGCCCTTGTGGTCTCCCATAATGACCTGATTATTTCTCTTCTATTGTACATAGGGAAGTATACTGCTGCCTTTTATTGTGTCTGTCCTCCACGTTAAAATAGAAAATAGTGACTGTGTCTCATTTACTCCAGTGTCCCAGGAGCCCAGACTCCAAACTCTGACAAGATCTCAGTAATTGCTGAGTTTATTCAGGCTTGGTTCTCTATATCCTTGCCCTGATTTTTCACTTATCATAATTGTCTATCACACTGCCTGTATATAAAATGATTTGGTGGTTTTAATCCCTACTTCGTAGTAGAATTTAGCATAGGGGTCAACTCAGAACATTGTCCTGAACCCTCTGACATCCACAAATGATCATTTTATAAAAATATACTTCCTTTCATGTTTTGAGCTTTGTATTTGAATAAACCACTGAATTAATTGAATCCTAAAAGAGGAAAGATGATAGACTTACACAGGGTAATTTGGATACAGTGTTAAAAGAGACAATTTTGACAGAATTGTGCAGGTGGTAGGGAAACCACAATGAATTCTATAGCACCACAGAGCTGGCAAAACAAAGGGACAAAAAGCTTGAAGGGACAGGGCAAGAGAGAAGCTACCAGAGCAGGTGGGGAGGGCTGCCTTCCAGGAGCTGGGAACTGTAATGGAAAGATCAGCCACTGAAAAATCTAGTAGAAGCCAGTGGACTAGGAATTATGGGATGCAATCCATGTAGGTCAGCCTCTTGGAACCTAAGCAGGATGGAAATGGATGGAGCACATACAGGTAGCCCCATGTGGACAACACCGAATCCAATGAAATTAAGTTAATATTATTTTCCCAAACTGGAAAAATCATGGCCCTAGTAAGGTTGCCATCCTGGTTTAGAAGTTTTAAAATGTTTCTTGCATCCATAAACAGAATCTAACATATAGGCTCCCACGCTGCAGCTCCTCTTAACTCATTGATAATTCTATGAAGATGACAACTTTGTTCTGGTTTATTATTTATTTAAATTTTTATTCATCCAAAATTTCCTCAAAAGAAGTCTGAATAAAAGAAAGAACTTATCTCATATTTGAAAAGAGCTATAACAAACAAAATTCTTTCCGTTGGAATTTTCATCACTGGAGTTTTCTCATTTATGAAATAAAGTATCTAATGACTTTTCCATCCACAGTAGAATAACTAAAAAAGGAAAATGACAAGAAATTAAAAACTTCAAATTGTGCTTCTGTGGTTATAACCATAGATGAAATCATTATTCTTTACCTTCATAAATATGTGAGTTTCCTTTCTTTAGCCCAGTCTTGGATATCTGCTTCTCCAAATATGATGTAGAAGATCAGTCCTAATAGGTTAATGGCAAACATCAGGAAAAAGGTATACTTCCATCCAAACTCAGGGTCCTAGGGACAAAAAAACCCAAGTAAATATTACTCTTTTTATGTTTTCTTCTATAAAAATTATTAATAATTCAGATGACATTCACTAGTGGGTTTCTATATGGAAATTCATTTCTTAAAGGTGGCTTGATAGAAAAGATTTCAAAATGCATTAAAAATCTTCTTAATAAAGGGGATTTGGGAACCTTCATGATTAACCTTCAGAACTTCACTTATCCCTACATTGTGCCATACATTTTGCACGGATCTTGTTTATGTAAGCTTTTGACATTCTTCCTACATTGTGATGGTGTAATGAAAAATTTATGGGCTTTTGAGCTAGATAAATTTAAGTTAGAAGAATTCTGATTGTACATCTTCATAGTGTAAAGACTTATCCTATCATATATTTAGTTGAATCACTAAGAAATGAGGATAATATTCAATTTTTACAATTGGCATGAGAATTAATAATTAAATGAGTTTACTGTATATGAAATAACTATGTAAATGCCCAAATGCATCAGACATTTAAAAATGTTTGCTTTCTTTATTTCTTTTTGCATGGTTATGCAAATGAAAATTTCGGTGTTACAGAGACATGGCAGGTTGTTATCTATGCATGGAATCATCACCCCAGGATACCTATGTGGCTGTATGATTTCAGATTCAAAGATGGCAATTGCCTGTGGTTCGTTTTTTAGCTCCAGAATGAACCAGGGTGGAGATCACTATTTTACTTTACCAGGCTCATCTTCATGACACAGTTACCTACAATTTAATTTTAGTTTCCAATCTTTGACTATGTTCTCTACAAATGGATTTGGCAAAATATTTTAAGAATTCTCGTTGACAAGAAATTCTACCTGACTGAGAAGAAATCCAGTGATAATGGGGACCAGGATAGCTGCTATTTGTGAAAATTCTCTTGAGACTCCTGCGAGGAAACTGGAATACCTGTGGGGGACAAGAATTTTCCAGGCTATATCCAGAGATGTTTCATCGTAACCTGCATCCCTGATCTGTGTATGAATCAATAATTTAATTATATTTTTATAATGGAACACAATTACAATTACATATGAGGTCTGACAATTAAGTTCACGAACTTGCCACTGTGCACTTATATTGGCAGCATTGTACAAAGAACTCAGTAAGGTTTTGTTACCTAGGTATATCCATTTCTCACAGCTGTGTTTGTGTCAATGTGTGACGGTGTCAATGTGCAGCAATGTCTTTCTGAGTGGTGTTCACTATTGCTGCGTGTTTTTGTGTGCTGTTGTGAGAATGTTGGGGCGTGAATTAGAGCAATGGGAAAACATTAAATTTCTTGTTAAATTTGGCAAGAGTGAAGTGAAATCAGAGACATGTTAGTCCAAGTTTATGGGGGTAATGCCATGAAGAAAATGGTAGTGTACAACATTTTTCTGAAGGGAGAGAAAGTGTCAAAGGTGGCCAAGAATAAGCAGAACTGACAAAAACACAAAATCCATCAAATTGGGTGTCAAAATTGTCAGCTGACTGTGAAAAGCATAGCAGACAGAGTAAACATTGATAGAGAAACAATTAGGAAAATCTTTTTTTTTAATTGAGATTCATTGAAGGTACAAAGAATTAGGTTATACTGATTGCATTATTAGATAAAGTCCCTCTTATAATTGAGTCCCACCCCCAAGAGGTGTGCCATACACTGAGACCCTCTATCCCCCACACTCCTCCCCTCTCCTTGTTCCCCCATTCTCCTACCAGACCCCTTGTCTTAGCTCACCTACTGCCTTCATATTAGAATTGAGTACATTGGATTCTCACTTCTCCATTCTTATGATGCTTCACTAAGAAGAATGTGTTCTACCTCCATCCAGATTAATATAAAAGATGTAAAATCTCCATCTTTTTAATGGCTAAATAGTATTCCATAGTATACATATACCACAGCTTGTTAATCCATTCCTGGGTTGGTGGGCATTTAGGTTGTTTCCACAATTTGGCAATTGTAAATTGAGCTGCAATAGTCTAGTGCAAATGTCCTTATGATAAAATGATTTTATTTTCTTTTGAGTAGATGCCTAGTAATGGGATTTTAGAATAAAATGGGAGCTCTATTCTGAGTTCTTTTTTTTTTTTTTTTGCAGTTTTTTTTTTTTTTTTGGCTGGGGCCGGGTTTAAACCCACCACCTCCAGTATATGGGGCTGGTGCCCTACACCTTTGAGCCACAGGCGCTGCCCTATTCTGAGTTCTTTGAAGATTCTCCCTACTTCCTTTCAAAATGGTTGCATTAGTTTGCAATTCCACCAGCAGTGGAAAAGGTTTCCCTTCTCTCTACATACATGTCAATATCTGCAGCTTTGAGACTTTAGGATGTGGGCCATTCTCGCTAGGGTTAGGTAATAGCTCAAGGTAGTTTTGATTTGCATTTCTCTGATGATAAGGAATGATAAGCATTTGTTCATTTGTTTGTGTGTTTGTTAGACGTTCATCTGTTTTCTTTAGAGAAGGTTCTATTCATGTCTCTTGCCCAGTGATAGATATATGGGATTGTGGGATCTTTTTTTGTTGATTAATTTGAGTTCTCTTTAGATCCTAGTTATCAAGCTTTTGTCCAATTCATAACATGCAAATATCTTTTCCTATTCTGAAGGTTGTCTATTTGCTTTGGTTGTTGTTTTCTTAACTGTACAGAAGAAGCTTTTCAGTTTAATTAAGTCCCATTTGTTTATTTTTTTTGTTGCTGCAATTGCCATGCAAGTCTTCTTCATAAAATCTTTCTCTGGGCCGATATCTTCAAGTGTTTTCCCCAAACTTTCTTTGAGGATTTTATTATTATTATTACTATTATTTTGCAGTTTTGGCAGGGGCCAGGCTTGAACCTACCACCCCAGGTATACGGGGCCGGTGCCCTACTCCTTAAGCCACAGGCACCACCCAAGAATTTGTATTGTTTCATGCCTTCAATTTAAATCTTTTATCCATCTTGAGTCAATTTTTCTAAGTGGTGAGAAGTGTGGGTCTAGTTTCAGTTTTTAACATGTAGTTATCTACTTTTCTCAACACCATTTATTGAATAGGGGTTCTTTTCCACAATGTACGTTCTTGTTTGGTTTATCAAATTTTGGGTAGCTATAAGATGTTAGTTTCATCTCCTGGTTTTCTATTCTGTTCCAAATGTCAATGTGTCTATTTTTGTGCCAATACCTTGCTGTTTTGATCACTATTGCCATGTAGTATAGCCTAAAGTCTGGTAGGGTGATGCTCTTGGCTTTGTTTTTAATTACTAAGAACTGCCTTGGGTATATTGGGTCTTTTCTGGTTCCATACAAAATGAAGGATCATTTTTTCCAAATCTTGAAAGTATTATGATGGCATTTTAATGGGGATTTCATTGAATCTGTAGATTGCTTTTAGAAGTATAGATATTTTGACAGAATTGATTCTTCTTAGCCATGAACATGGTATGTTCTTACACTTGCTATTTCTTTTCTTAGTGTTTTGTAATTTTCTTTGTAGAGGTCCTTTACCTCTTTTGTTAGGTATATTCCTAGGTACTTCATTTTTCTTTTTGAAGCTACTGTGAAGGAAATTGTGTCCTTGATTAGCTTCTTATCCTGGCTGTTACTGGCATATACAAAGGCTACTGATCTGTGGACATTGATTTTCTATCCTGAGACATTACTATATTTTTTGATCACTTCAAGAAGTCTTGTGGTTGAGTCTGTGAGGTTCTCTAAGTATAAGATCACGTTGTTAACAAAGAGTGATAGTTAGACCTCCTCTGCCCTCATTTGGATACCTTTTATTTCATTTTCTTGTCTGGTGTATTGGCTAGAACTTTCAGCACTATGTTGAATAGTAGTGGTAATAGAGGACAACCTTGTCTGGTTCTAGTTCTAAGTGGAAAACTTTCAGTTTTACTCCATTCAGTATAATATTAGCTATGGGTTTGTCATAGATGGTTTTGATCAGTTTAAAAAATGTACCACCTATGACTATATTCTTCAGTGTTTTAATTAGAAAAGGATGCTAAATTTTATCCAATGCTTTTTCTGCATCTATTGAGAGGATTATATGGTTTTTGTTTTTGCTTTTGTTGATATGGTGGATTATGTTTATGGACTTGTGTATGTTAAACCTGCCTTGCATCAGTGGGATGGCACCTCTTTGATTGTGATGAATGACTCTTTACTATGTAGCTGTAATCTATTGGCTAGGATTTTACTGAGGATTTTTGCATCTGTATTCATTAGTGAAATTGGTCTGAATTTCTCCTTTTTAGTTGGATCTTTTCCTGGTTTTGGAATCAGGGTGATGTTTGCTTCATAGAATGTATTGGAAAAAATTCCTTCCTTCTCCATTTTTTGGAATAATTTCTACAGCTCTTCTTTGAAGGTTTGATAGAATTCTGGCGTGAAGCCATCTGTACCAGAGTATTTTTTTGTTGGGGGATTTTTTTATTGTTTCTTTGATCTCAGTTCTTGAATTTGGTTTGTGCAAGAGATCTGTTTCTTTTAGGATATGTCTAGGGAGATGGTGAAATCCAGATATTGATCCATTTCCTCTACATTGTAAAATTTGTGGGCATAGAGTTTCTTATAGTATTCAGAGATGATCTCTGGTATCTCAATGGCATCTGTTATTTCCCCTTTATTGTTTCTGATTGTGGTTATTAGAGATTTTACTTTTCTGTTTCTAGTTAATCTAGCTAACAGTTTATTGATTTTATTTTTTTTTTCAAAAAAACCAACATTTTTCTTTGTTAATTTTCTGAATGATTCCTTTGTTTTCAATTTCATTCATCTCTTATTTAATTTTGGTTATTTATTTTCTTCTCCTGGACTTGGGATAGGATTGTCCTTCTTTTTCCAATTCTTTTTTTTTTTTTTTTCCACACAAAGTATAGGTCATTTATTTTCCTTCTAGCCCTGGGTTCAGTACATAGATGGCTTCTCTTCGCCTTTTGGATTGATAATTTTCTCCAGGTTGTTGATGATGATATGATAGAGCTCAGCATAGAAGGTCCTCAGGCCCAGCACCATGGCCCTAAGTTGCCCATACACTGCCTCATCTCGCTTGTGCACCAAGGCTCGGTAATCCATTACATGGGTCTCCTTGGAGGCCTTAGCCACAGCATCCCCATGTTCTAAGAAGTACTTGGAAATGGTTGTCTGGAAGGCTTCCACTTTGGTCTTAACTGCATTCACCCTCTCCAGCACCTTATCCTGGATTGCTACCCCCAAATCATTTCCATCCTCAATCTTAGAGATCTGGTGCTGGATCCATGTGATCACCAGAATGCACTTCTCTTTGAGAGTCCAGACTTCTGGCTTAACGAGGGCAAGCAGGGACAAGACTTTCTCATTCCCAGGGAGGAATCCACACTTAGGGATTTCTTTCTTATCCTGTTTATCTGTTTCCTTCTCATCATCCTTGGCAGGGGGTCTGGGATAGGGATATCCAGTGGGGCCCGGAGGGAGGTCAGGTCAGCCACATTGAAGGAGTCATCTTGCAAGAGCTGGTTCAGGTATATGATTTTCTGTGGCAAGAATCTGTAGAGGAACTCCTCAGCCTCCTGGAAAAGATTTTGCCTGAAGACATCCACCTTCTTGAGGGCCTCCCTACTCAGGTGCACTCCACAAGACTTGGCCATGCTGCTTCAGTTGCTAGATCGGTCTCCGGCTAGCCTCCCAGGCTTTCGCTTTCACTCCTCTTTTTCCAATTCTATAAGATGATTCATGAGTTTGTTGATGTGTTCTCTTTCTGTTTTTGAAAATAGTCATCTAATGAGATACATTTCCAAGATTGCTCTTGCTCTATCCCACAAGTTTTAGTTACATGTTTGAGGAATTTAACAGTTTCCTCTTTTGTCTATTCCTGAACCCAATTATCATTCAGCATAATGTTGTTTAATTTCCAAGTGTTGTGTGGGGATGAACATTTTTGTTGGAGTTGAGTTCCATCTTTATTGCCTTGTGGTCTGAGAAGATACAAGGTATAATTTCTGTTGTTTTAATTTTGCTGAGGTTTGATTTGTATCCTAGGATGTGGTCTATTTTGGAGTATGTACCATGGGCTGATGAGAAAAATGTATATTCTTTAGCTTTGGGATGGTGTGTTTTGTTTAAGTCTGTTAATCCCATTTGTTCTAAGGTCACATTTAAGTCTTTTGTATCACTGTTTAGTTTCTGTTTAGAGGATCTGTTCATTTCTGTCAGGGGGATGTTAAAGTCTTTGACTATTATGGTGTTATGGGATATCATATTGCTCAGACCCATCAAGGTCTGTTTAATAAATCTGGAAGCATTTAAGTTGGGTGCATAAATATTTAAAATTGAAATGTCTTCTTGTTGACCAGTTCCTTTGACCAGTATAACATGCCCATCTTTGTTTTTCTTAACTTTAGTTGTTTTAAATCTGTTTGTATCTGAAAATAAGATTGCAACCCATCCTTTCTTCTGATTTGCATTTGCTTATCCCTTAATCTTAACTCTTGATTTGTCCTTCAAGGTTAGATGTGTTTCCTAGAGACAGCATATGGATGGCTTGTGCTATTTTAGCCAATCAGCCAACCTGTGCCTCTTCAATGGTGAATTCAGTCCATTGACATATATTGAGAGAGTTGATAAGTGTGGTGGAATTCTATTCATCTTATTTGATGAAAGTCTGTTGTGTTGTTATATCCTTTGTGCCATTACAGAAGCTAAGTTTTGACCTTTAGCTTCTGGTATTTATTTAGCTGGTGGTTCATTGTGATGGTCAGTGTTGGGTTTAGGTCTAAATATTTCCTGTAGAACAGGTCTTCTTGTGGTGAATTTCCTCAGTGTTTGTATATCTGCAGAAGATTTGATTTCTCCATCAATTTTGAAGGTTAGTTTAGCAGGATACAGAATTCTGGGCTAAAAATTATTTTGTTTAAGAATGTTGAAGGTGGATGACCATTCTCTTTTGGCTTAGAAGGTTTCAGTTGAAAAACCTGCTGTCATCCTAATGGCTCTGCCTCTGTAGGTCAGTTGGCACTTACTCTTGGTGGTTTGCAGATTTTTTTTTTCCATCTTGACTTTGGACAAGTTCATTATAATGTTTCTTAGAGAAGCTCTTTTTGAGTTGAGATGACCTGTGGTTTGATATCCATCTGAAGGGAGTGCATTGGGATCTTTAGTAAAACTTAGGGAAGTTTTCATTTATAATAGTCTCCAGTAAGGTTTCTATTCTTTTGGGAGAATCTTCTTCTCCTTCAGGAATGCCTATTATTCGTATGTTTGAATGCTTCATGGAGTTTTAGAGTTCTCTAAGTGACTGCTCTGCTTTCTCTATCTTCTTTTCTGCCTCTTTGACTACCTCAGTTAACTCGAACACTTTATCCTCTACTTCTGAGGTTCTTTCTTCTCCATGGTCTAACCTATCTTGGATACTTTCCACTGCATCTTTACATTCCCCGATCATCTCCTTCATTTCCTTAAGGTTTGCCATATCCTTTCGATATTCTGCATATCTCTCATTTGACTTTTGGTTCTGTCTTTCCATTTTCTCATCCGTTCCCTTTATTGTCTTTATCATCCATATTTTAAATTCCTTTTCTGTCAAATCCATTATTTCTTTACAGGTTTAATCTTCTGCAGTAGCTTCCTTATGGTCCTCTGGGAAAGTTGCTCTGCTTTGATTTTTCATGTTGCCCAGATTTTTCTGTTGGTTCCTCTTCATGTGTTCTTTCTTTTTGTTCACCTCATCTTCTTTTTACCTTCTCTCTTCCTCTTTTGTTTCAAATTACTTTTTCTCAGAGTGTGACCAAAAATACAGAAGTCTGTAGCTAGGCATTGTGGCAGGTGCCTGTAGTCCCAGCTACTTGGGAGACTGCGGCAAGAGAATCGCTTAAGCCTAAGAGTTTGAGGTTGCTGTGAGCTGTGACACCACAGCGCTCTACCAACGGTCACATAGTAAGACTCTGTCTCAAAAAAAAAAAAAATACAGGAGTCCTTGCTTTTAGTAGGAATATATATGTTGCAAGGACACCAGATGGCAATGTGGTTTTTTTTGGGGGGGGGCAGGGCTGGGTTTGAACCCACCACCTCCAGTATACGGGGCCAGCACCCTACTCCTTTGATCCACAGGTGCCACCCATGCAATGTGTTTTTTTTAGGTGATGGAGAATACAGCAAGTAGACTCTTTGGTTCTTATTTCTAACTGAATTGCCCTCAGTGATTGCCTGATTGTTTCCTCAGCATTCAGACCCCACCAAGTTGGCATCTTAAAGCTCCCCAGAATCCTTCAAGGGCAAGTCTCACAGTGCTCCCTGACTCCAGTTCCCATGGGGTGAGGAAGTTCATTAGCCTCTCCCAAGAGTGAGTTTTGATCCAGGCAGGCAGAACTAAGACAGCTGTGCTTTAAGCCTCTACTAAGACCTTCTCATGACCTTTCCACAATGGCAGCCCCCTGGCCACTGAGACCTTCCCAGTGTGGCTGTCTCACCAGCCAGCAAACCAATGGCAAATCCACTCCAACTGGTGTTCAAATCTGGTTGCTGTATACTGTTTGAGTCTGCCTATTCTTCCAAGCTTTCTGCTCAATGGGTAGTTTGCTCCCAAAGTCAAAAACACCAGAAAGGCTTCCTCCCGTCCTTGACCTTCATGGTGGCCGAGGGCTGGGAGGGAGCTGGCCAATCTGAGCAGGTTGCAATTACTTGCCTAATGAGTCAGATTTCCACCACTCTAGACCACACTCTGTATCCAGCTCATCACCTCCTCACTGTGCTTCCTGAGCTATGACACTGAGTAAGGTCCCAGCAGTGGGTATAGCTGTGTTCTCTCTTTTTCTCCAGTTGTACTAGGAGAGCTCAGTTGAATGATCTTTCTGGTTCACCATCTTGCTCTGCCCCACAATTAGTAATATCTGAACTGAAAATCTTGACATGAGAAAGGTGTGTACAAAAATGGTCCTGAAGGAGCTCACCAATTAACAAAAGCAAAGAAGAGTCAAAGTTTGCCAAGCTCTTTTGGAGAGGCAAGATAATGTTTTGGGCCATGTTATTACTAGTGATAAAACATGGGTGTACCAAACAACCCTAAAACAATGTGTCAACAGACACAATGGAAGTCAGCCAATTCTCTATGACCAAAAATGTTCCATCAGTCCAAGAGTTAAAGCAATGTTACTAACATTTTTGATATAAAAGAAATTGTTCATTATGAATTTGTGCCAGCTGGACAAATAATTAACCAAGTTTAGTATTTGGAAGTAGTGAAAAGGACACAAGAAAAAGTTAGACAAAAGCCACCTGAACTTTTTGCCAACAACCCATAGCTCTTGCATCACAATACACCAGCTCACATGGCATTGTCTATGAGGGAGTTTTTAGCCAGTAAACAAATAGCTGTATTGGAATACCCTCCCTACTTACCTGATCTGGTCCCTGCTGACTTTTTTCTTTACTCAAACATAAAGGAAATATTGAAAAGAAAACATTTTGATGACATTCAGGACAGCAATATGACAACAGCTCTGCTGGCCATTCCAGAAATAGAGTACCAAGATTGTTTGAAGGGTGGACTATGTGCTGGTGTTAGTGCATAGCTTCCAAGGGGAGTACTTCTAAGGTGACCATAGTTATATTTGGTAATAAGGTATGTATCACTTTTTATAGGATGAGTTCATGAGCTAAACTGTCAGACCTCATAATTATACTTTGATATTTATATCAAAAAGAACTTGTACTGTGTATATTCAATGAGAAGCACTAAGATAAATTAATATCCCTCTCCCAAAATATCTGGAAAAATGGCCATAGTTCCCTCTGTGGTCCTTGATTATGATTTATTCTTTTCTAAAGTTGAGGACTCAGAAAGCTGCAGTCTAAATCTTTTTCAGAAAATGTGAAACTAATAGTGGAGATAAGAGTCCTACCTTGGAGCAATATCTAAGGCATTGATGTAGACCCCTGCTTGGCATAATTGGCTTAGTCCACACGAGATTGTCAGAAAGGTAATTGTTGTGATATAGTTGGAATTAACGTAGGGCAGGGCCATAATGAAGGCTGAAGCAGGGAGATTTCCTAGGAAATGAAGAACAGACAAATTAAACAGTGAGATGCATCATTTGGTTGTTGCATGCCATGTGAATTATCCAACTCTCAAGTCCTGTTCTTACCTAAAACTGTGGCAATTTTCCTCACAGTGATGAGCCTAAAATTCTTGGTCAGAAGGAAATCTGCCAGATAGCCTCCCAGGATACCAGTGATCCAGGAACCAATAAAAGGGAAAGCTGATAGGACCCCATTCTGAGGGGGAAGGATTAAGTAAGTCATCATAATAAAGGCAATGAGACCAGAACTCTGATTGCTAAATCACTGAGATCATACTTTCTTAGGAAAATCAGTAACCTCTTAAATCATATTCCCAGAAAAGCTACTGATGTGAGTGTTAGATATTAGATTGTTTTTGACATAAGAGATATATACCTCAAATGGAATGATTTTTTGAAGGCAGAGTAATCAGTGAGTCATGCAAGAGGAAAAGGGGCACAGGGAAATATACTCACATCTCTGATGTTAACATTATACACAGAACCGATGTAAGTTGGTGTGTATACAATCAGTATGTTAAGTAACCACTGATGGCTGAAACAGCAAAAACAGAGGGACCAACAGGGTAGGGATTTGAGTATAGCCTTGATGGGAAGAGACTGCTTAGAAGAGCTGACCTGAAAACAAATTTACTTAGTTAGAACAGTAAAAGCTGAGAAATGTTTACATACTCTTATTCACCCTTAGAAATCCAGATGCTGACAAAAGGTCTCTGAAAAGGGTTAGAGTCCTTATGTGTACCTGCTGGTCCAAGGAGGACATGATGTATTCTTTTTCTGAAGTGCTTATCCATGGGTGAGAGACGGGGTCATCATAAACCAGAACAAACCAGAAAAAGCAAAAGACACAGCCAATGCCTCCTGCAAACACAGAGTAAAATTTGTAACTGGGCTGATTTCTGCCTCGCATGTGAATTTCTTTTATGATGGACATTTTCTGGTATAAGTCCTGGGAAAAGCTTTTATTCGTCATATCCCCTTTCCATTTCTTAAATGATTCACATGACTATCACAGCTAGAATGCACCCATTTCTTTACATTTCTTGTTTATTTGTGTGTGTAGAAATCACATACCCAAAGAATGGTACCATACTTGGTATGTCAATCTTTTTAATACTAGTGATTCTAATAAGTGTATAGAAACCACTAATTGTGATTTCTGTTTGCATTTTCCTAATGACTAAGGATGCAGACCTGAGCATCTTTTCACATGCTTATTTTCCCTCTCTATATCATAGAGACACATTGGTGTGTGTCTCTGCCCATTTTAAAATTTTATGTGTGGTTTATTATTAAATTTTGAGAATTATTTATACATTCTGGACAAGTCATTATAGATGGGTTTTGCTAGTACTTACTTCTTGTATCAGCTTGTCTTTTAATATCCTAACAATGCCTACTGAAGAGGAAATATTTTTAAATTTGATGAAATCCAGTTTATTAACTTCTCATTTCTTTTTTCTTAGTGCTTACTGAAATTTTTTTTTTAATCATTGGGGATTCATTGAGGGTACAAAAAACCAGGTTACATTCATTGCATTTGTTAGGTAAAGTCCCTTTTATCATTGTGTTCCGCCCCCAAAAGGTGTGTCACATACCATGATCCCCACCCTCCTCTCTCCTTCCCTCTTTCTGCTCTCCCCTTCTCCCCCCACCATGTACTAAGTCATTAATTGTCCTTATATAAGAATTGAGTACATAGGATTCTTGCTTCTCCATTCTTGTCTTGTGATGCTTTGCTAAGAATAATGTGTTCCACTTCTATCCAGGTTAATACAAAAGATGTAAAACCTCAATCTTTTTAATGGCTGAATAGTATTCCATGGTACTATTATATATATCAGGATATATATATCAGAGCTTGTTAATCCATTCCTGGGTTGGTGGCATTTAGGCTGTTTCCACATTTTGGCAATTGTAAATTGAGCTGTGATAAACAATCCAGTGCGAGTGTCCTTGTGGTAAAAGGATTTTTTTCTTCTGGCAGATGCTCAGTAAGCATGCTTTTGGTATTATACATACATTTAAGAAATCTTTGCCTAACCAAAGAGCAAAGATTTTCTTCTTTTTATTCTAGAAAGATTTTTATTTTTCTTTCAGATTTTATATTTAGGGCTGGGATTTATTTTGAGTTAGTTTTTATATATGATGTAAGATATGGATCAAATTTAATTTTTTCCATATGAATATCAAATTTTTGAGTATCATCTATTAAAAAGACCAGCTTTTTTCCAATGATTGCACTTTTGTCAAATATCAACTTATATTATATGTATGAACGTATTTATGACTATTCTTTTTCATTGATCTGTTTGTCTGTTTTTATGCTAATACCACACTGTCTCAATGACTGTAATTTTATAATGCCATCACCTCTAAAATTACCATACATAGGGAAAATGGGAAACTGTAGCTAAATATAACTCTACTTATAAAATATTCATTATAAAAACTTTGCAGAGAGGTGGCCAACACATAGAGAATGTTTTGTAAATATTTTGTAAAATTTGGTAATGACTATTTTATAAATAAAGGTACATTTAGCTACAATTTCCCATTTTCCTCATGAATGGGGCAACTTTTGTTGCAATTTTTGGGACAAACTTTATTTCTTGACATCAGGTAATAATTTATATTCAGGGTTGTTTGGCTATTCCAGAATCTTTGTATTTTCATAAGAATTTAGTTTTCAGTGCATAAGCCTTTTATGTGTTTTGTCAGATTTATCCCCATGTTGTATACTTTTTGCATGACTGAAAATGGTACCATTGTCTTTAATTTCTTTTTTCTCTTTTTTTTTTTTTTTTTTTTTTTGAGACAGAGCCTCAAGCTATCCCCCTGGGTAGAGTGCCATGGCATAACAGCTCACAGCAACCTCCCACTCCTGGGCTCAAGCAAATCTTCTGCCCCCGCGTCCCAAGTAGCTGGGACCACAGGTGACCACCACAATGCCTGGCTATTTTTTGCTTGCAGCCATCATTGTTGTTTGTGGTAGGCCCAGGCTGAATTCTAACACCTCACCTTAGGTGTATGTGGCTGGCGCCTTAGCCACTTGAGCCACAGGCGCCAAGCTGTTGTCTTTAATTTCAATTTCTAATTCTTTAGGTTTTGTATGCCTTTGTTTTGCATTTTATAAGTATTTTTTCATTTGATCTGTAATTCTAGATTGACAGTGATTTTCTTTATCCTTTCACTACTTTAAAGATGTTGTTCCACTGCCTTCTCTCTTGAAGTGTTTCTGACAGGAATGCTGCATTTATTATCTTTGTTCCTCTGTCTAAAACATGTCTTTTAGCTTTAGCTGCTTTTGGATTTTCTCTTTATCACTGGTCTTGAGCCATTTGATTATGACATAACTTGGTGTAGTTACTTGTACTTGAGCTTCATTGATCTATTTGGATTTGTGAGTTTACCATTTCATCAAATTTGGAAATCTTTTGGATATTATCTTTTCAAATATTTTTGTTTTTGTTTCCCTATCTTATTCCTTTCTTTGGGGCATTCCACCACTTACGGATGTTCTTGTGTTATTATTATATTTTTATCTGTGTGGCTCATTTTATTTGGTTTCTATTGCTGTTTTCAAGTTCATGATTTTTTTAATGTTGTATCTAATCTGTCATTAATTCCATCCAGTGCATTTCTCACATATTTTACTTTTCATTTCTAGAAGTTTGATTTGGGTATTCTTTATATTACTGTGGTTCCACTGAATTTTACAGGGTTATGATATAGTGCAGTTATAACTTTTTTTTTTTTTTTTGAGACAGGAGCCTCAAGCTGTCCCCCTGGGTAGATTGCTGTGGTATCACAGCTCACAGCAACCTCCAACTCCTGGGCTCAAGTGAGTCTCCTGCCTCAGCCTCCCAAGTAGCTGGGACCACAGGTGCCCGCCACAATGCCCAGCTATTTTTTGGTTGCAGCCATCATTGTTGTTTGGCAGGCCAGGGCTGGATTCAAACCCACCACCTTGGGTGTACGTGGCTGGTACCTTAGCCACTTGAGCCACAGGCGCCGAGCCGTTATAACTATTTTTAATGCTTTTGTCAGCTAATTCTAAAATTTCTGTCAGCTCTGGGTTAGTTTTGATTGATTTATTATTCTCCTCATTATAGATTTTGTTTTTCTGCTTTTCTTCATGGCTCATAATCTATGGATAGAGTTAGACTTTACTAATATCTTGCTGGATGCTGAATAGTTTTATATTCCTATAAATATTTTTGAACTTTGTTCTGGGATATAATTTGTATAACCAAATCATGTGGAAATACAGTAGAACTTCTGTAAATTGACCACCTAAGGACCTATAACAAACTGGTCAACATATGGAGGTGGTCATCATAAAGAACTAGGCCTACTGTACACATACGTGTATGTAGTGCATTGTCTTTCTATGAAAATTAAGTCAACTTAAGGAGGTGGTCAATGTAGAGAGGTGGTCAGTATGGAAGTTCTACTGTCATTTGATCATTGTAGGTCTTGCCATCATCATTTAGAGAGATCCGTAGCAGTGCTTACTCTAGGGTTATTGATTTCCTACTGTTGAGGAAAAATATTTATGAGTATTCTACTCCATGACCCATGAATTATGAATTTTTCAGTCTGTCTTACAGGAAGAGTACTGAGGATTGTTCTCTAATATTTAATCCCCCACATACATATACACACAAATAACCTGATCAGTACTCTACTGAATACTCACAGGGGATCCTGCAGATCACTGAAATTTTCTCTATGTGCAGCTATCTCCCCTTAGATAATACATCCTATGAACTTTACCTATCTTACTTTCTCCTCAACTCAGAGAAAGTTCTGTTGAACTTTGCCTAAATTCCCCTTTTCTGTACCATGCCCCAGGATTCACCTCTCACAGGTCATTGTTTTTCCACTGAAATCCAATGTTTTGACAATCACTGTTTCATATATATTGTGTCTGATATTTTTTCTTTCCAACTGTTTCATACCAGAAGATACATCTAGAACGTCTAACTATGTTAGGCAAATGTAGACACTCAATACAGTTTTGTGTTTGCTTCACTGTGTCCCTGAATTACAATGGATTTTGAATGTTGAGCCTGCCTTACATTTCAAATATAAATTCTCTGAGTTATGATGTGTTATGGTTTATATATATTTATGGGTTCACTTGCTAATATTTTAAGATATCTGTGCTTAGGTTCACGAGAGATATTGGTCTGTAGTTTTCCTTTTTTGTAATATTCGTGTCTGGTTTTGGTATTAAGGCAATTCTTACCTTAAAACATGGATCTTGAAGGATTTACTCTTATTTTTTCAGGAGGTATCATTTCTTACCTGCCCATTTGGTAAAATTTGCCAATATAACCTTGTGGTCCTGGGCATTTTTGGTTGTTGTTGGAAATCTTTAAACTAAAAAGTCAATTTCTTAATGTATATGGAATATTTAAATTAGCTCTTATTTCTGGAGTGAATTTTGTTACTTTGTGTTTTTCAATTAGTTATTTTATCCAGTGATTAAACTTGTGAGACTAGAGTGTTTTGTAATATCCCCGTTATGATTTTTTTAATGTTTTTAGGGCCTATATTGAAATTTCCTTTTCATTCTTGATATTGTTATTTGTATCTTTTCTCTCTCTCTCTCCATTTGGCTAAAGATTTGTCAATGCTATTAATCTTTTCAAAGAACCAATTTTTGGTTTTAATTAACCTCTATTTTTTCCTGTTTAAATCCTTTAATTTCTGGTCTTATTTTTTATTTCTTTCTGTTCAATTTGGGTTTAATTAGCTTTTCTTTTTCTAGTTCTTAAGGCATAAGCTAAGATCATTAACTTGAGATCTTCTGTCTTTTCTAAGTATTTAATATTAAAGGTTCAGTCTAAGCACTGCCTTAATTGAATACCACAAATTTTCATATACTGATTTTCATTTCAATTCAATTAAATTTTAAAATTTGTCTTTTGTATTTTTTAACTCATTAAAGTATGCTACTTTCTTTTTAAATATTTGTGGCATTTCTAGAAACTTTCGGCTACTTATTTCTAGCTTAATTCTATTATGCTCAAAGAATAAACTTTCTATAATTTTCCATTCATTCCAATTTGTTAAAACTTGTTTTTATGGACCATAAATGATCTATCCTGGTGAGTGCTTGAAGCAAACTTGAATGTTTGAATGAAGTGTACTTCAAACTTGAATGTGTTGAATGAAGTGTACTTCATCTGTTTTCTTGTTCTATTAATTATTAAGTGAAGAATTTTGAGAATTGCATCATTAATTTTGGATATGTTTTTCTCCTTACTGTTCTATCAGTTTTTGCTTTATGTTTTTTTAAGCTCTGTTGTTAGGTGCAAATGAATTTCAGATTGCTATGTCTTCTCAGTGAACTGCTAATATTCCTTGTTTGGAAGCCACTCTTGTCAGATATTAATGTATCCATCCTGTTTTCTCTTATCAATGTGTCTATGGTACATCTTTTTCCTTGGACTCTGCAGCCCCTAAAACCCAACAAGATTCTATCTCTGCCCTCAAGATACTCACTGACTAGAAGGAGAAAGGAATATATAAACAAATAAATGCAAACTGATGAGAACTTTGAAAGTAGAACGTAAAAGTTACTGAAGTGGAAGTGGTAGAAAGAGCAGTTGTTTCTTGGTTTCTAATAGCTAATAGAAGGTTCTGGGGCAAATGTTGAGGCTGTCAAAATTCATCTGCTTAGTGTTTAGTGTGTTCTCTTTTTAAGAAACTGGAACCGTACTGAGGCTACCTCATTGCTATGATTAATCTCAGACAAAACCCATAGCAGTATCTATCTCTCTAGATTTCTTTCCTCCATCTGTCACAAACTACTGCTCTGTAAGCCTATCCCCTATTTTCTGCAATAGCAGCAGAGCATGCTTGATCATACTGCCACAATAATGCATTGTGGTGGGTTAATAGCACTTTACAATAGGCAGGAGGACTTCTCAATTTTTTGATGATAATGGTCAGAGGTGGGGAACCTATGGCCTTGGGGCTACATGTAGCCTTTTGGATCCTTGGATGTGGCCTTTTGATCAGGTGAAGCGCCACATTTAGGGATCTGGAGGGCCACATGTGTTAATTGTTCCCTTATTTTAAGATAGTTTAGCTTTTTGGATTTTTCTATCCTGACCCATTTTCTTCAAAAAGTTATATACAAAGGTACATACTCATTAGAATCATCCTGTGATTCTTCTGGGAACTTGGAGACAACTTACCAAAGATATAGAAGGTAAAAGGCCACCCCAGGGCTTGACTAATGAAGCCACCCAGGAGGGTGGCAGTGAAGCTTCCCAGAATCATTCCTACAAAGACACAAAAGTAATCCATGGAACTCTGGACTTCCACCCAACAAACACATACAGACTGGTGAATGGTAGGTTGAGTAGCAGTAACTCCACACCATAAAAAGACAAGCAGATTAGAATATATGAACTTCAGATTTATGATTGAGTTCAGATATTCTCTTGAGAACACATTTTTCTAGCAGTTCCTTATTAGCATGGCAGAAGACAACCATATTTTCTTTCCTGTTGCTCTAGTTTTTAATTACACAAGCCATATATGCTTATTGTAAAAGTAAACTACCACAAGGTACTAAAGTTTCTTTCACATGCCTACCCAATTCATTCCCATGCTTCTCTCTAAAATTAACCATTAGTAACAATTTGTTATACAATACATAATTGCACATCTTTCCCATTTTGCACATACCTAATATGTATCTACACATACAATCACCCTTTTTATGAATACATTTGGGCAATATATAGACAGTTACATTTTCTATAAGTGTTATAATATAATAACTTTTTAAATTTTCATAGCTTGACAAAGAGTGTTCTAATACGGTAGGGCATGTTCCTTTTTCACAACTTTTTCAGACATTTCTAGGGTATTGTATTTTTTTTTTTATTTTTTAGATAACTTGTCAAATTGTATATATGAACATATAGGGGTTATTTTTAAATAAGCAGGATCATAATGTTTCTATTGTTTTGTGGCTTCATTTTTTATTTAACAACTAGTCTTTGCAAATATTATAACCTAGTTGTTTGTACCCACACATTAACCTGAAATTTTTAAAAAGGGGGTTTTATAAGTATTTCCAGGTCACTGTAGATTCTATCTAGTTACTTCTGAACATAGACATAATTACTAATTTTGTAAGAGAAATGTAATTTAATATCATGCAATAGAATATTTGAATCAGACTTACTAGATTAAAGGCTATGCACATTTTAAATTTTGGTTAAATACTACTAAAGTGCCTTGTTAAAAGGCTATACCAAATTAAATGGCTAACAATATTTTCCCCTTATCTCCTTGACAACATTTAATATCCTTAAAGTTTTTAAAAATTGTCTTTTGCGAGTATAAATAAAAAAGAATATCTCATTTTAATATCCTTTTTATAATGAAATTCCACATTTTTCCACAATAAACAGGATCCTCTGTGTATTATGCTATCTGAAGTTCTCCCATCTTTAATTTTGTTTATGTTGTGTTTTGATTATCCTTTGTAGTGATCTCTACATTTACTCTTTTGCTTAGAAGGTCTTTCTACCCCACAATGTTAAAAAAAAATTCACTTAATATTTTCTTTCTCTTTTACCCATGTTTTACTTAAACATATATATTACTTGTGTTATCTCATTTAAGTACAAGTAGTCAAATTTATAATGGAGGAAACAGAGACACAGAAAAGGTAAATAACTTGCCAAAGGTCACACTGTTAATAACGGAAGAAGGCAGTATTTGAAGTAAGGTCAACTGACTCCAGGGCACAGATAGATGAAGACGGAAAACAGCACATATCTTTCACTACTAAGTCTACCAAATCTGCATCTCTTCTCTGAATTGCCTTTGCTTGACTATAAGAGGAGACAGTTTCCTGCATTCATCCAAGGTCAAGTCCCTTGTCCTCTAGACCATGTCTCTTCCAATCTATACCAGGTGTGGGGTCCTACAAGTGAGAATTCTCACTTTTCATCCTTACTTCTTTCCTCGACTCTTGATTCTTTCACATCTACACACAAATTATATCCTTATATGGCCTATGTTATAAAAAAAACCAAACAGAAATTTTCACTTCTTCAGAACTCTCTCTAAGCACTTTGACATTTCTCTGCTTCTCTTTAAGGCAAAACTTCTTAAAAAGTTGTGCTTATTGCTTCCCTTTTTTTCTCTCTTACTCCTTCTTCAGCCAACTCCTACAACACTGGCATGGCTTTTGTCAAGGTTCTTTTGATATCCACCTGTGCTGCTCACCCCAGCAGCATGTGGTACAGTTGACACTTTGCCCTTGACTGACTGTTGTCTCATGGTATCTGTTACCCACACTCTCCTTGTCTTCTTCCCACTGCCCCATAGGAAGCTTCTCAGTCCCTTTACTCAGCTGTCATTCTCTTCTGTCTGAGGTCTGAATATTGGAGGGCCTCAGGGCTATTTCCTTGGTTCCTTCTCTTATCTATGTCCTTTCTCTAAGTGGTTTGATCTAGCACTCAGGGTTTAAATACTTTCTATATGCTGAAGAATTTCAGTATATAGAAATATATACAGCTATGGATCTTCTTCCCTATCCATCAGTTCTATATGTTTTTTCATATCTCTATCTCATATCTCTTTCCAGACTGTAAAGCAATCTCTACTCAGATGCCTAATAGTTTATAGCTAGCACCTGATTTACATGCATACATTGGCTTATTTAATGCTCAAACATATGAATGTGTGTAAGAATTGTATCATATATATGTGAATATTTAACATATTGACTATCACACTGGAAAAAAATTTTTTCCATTGGGCCACAATATTTTATTAAAAAAATAGAATGAAAACTTCAAAATCAAACTATCCTTTCTCATTTAATGAAAAACTTCTTAATTTTTATCGTTTTCTGTGTGTGAGTTATATGCAACTCATATGACACCAGAATCAGTTTTTAAACTGACTGCCGTGTGAGTTGTATGTGACTCATAATATGCTTATTGACTTTGTTTCTGAGAATTGAGTCTTTTGTTATCTTTTTTTTTTTTTTTTTTTTTTTGAGACAGAGCCTCAAGCTGTCCCCCTGGGTAGAGTGCCGTGGCATTACAGCTCACAGCAACCTCCAACTCCTGGGCTCAAGCGAGTCTCCTGCCTCCGCCTCCCAAGTAGCTGGGACCACAGGCGCCCGCCACAACGCCCGGCTATTTTTTGGTTGCAGCCGTCATTGTTGTTTGGCGGGTGCGGGCTGGGGATTCGAACCCGCCACCTTAGGTGTACGTGGCTGGCGCCTTAGCCGGTTGAGCCATAGGCGCCGAGCCGTCTTTTGTTATCTTGAGAAAATAGTTCAACATTTTTTATATGTAATCAGAAAAAAGCCTAAATTGCCAATACAATTCTATGAAATAAGACCAAATAAGGAGGCATCACTTTACTGTACTTTAGACTATACTACAAGCCTATAGTTATCAAAAAAGCATGATATTGGCATAAAAATAGAAATACAGATCTATGGAACACAACAGAGAATTTAGAGATGAAACAAGCTTCATATTGCCATCTGATATTTGGCAAATCAAACAAAAGCATACATTGAGAAGAAGAATCCCTATTCAACAAATGGTGCTGGGAGAACTGGTTAGCCACATGTAAAGACTGAAACATGACCCACATCTCTCACCACTCACAAAAATCAATTCATGATGGATAAACAATTTAAATTTAAGACACAAAAACTAGGGGCAGTGCCTGGGGCCCAAAGGAGTAGGGTGCCAGCCCATATGCCAGAGGTGGCAGGTTCAAACCCAGCCCCGGCAAAAATAAAAAAAAAAGACACAAAAACTATAAAGATTCTAGGAAAAAATGTGGGAAAATCTTGTAATGATATCAGCCTAGGGAAAGAATTTATGAAGATCCTAAAGGCAATCATAGCAACAGCATTAATAAATAAATGGGACCTGGTCAAGTTAAAAAGTTTCTACATAGCTAAGGACATAACCAACCAAGCATAGAGACAATCTACAGAATAGGAGAAAATATTTGCATACTACACATCTGACAAAGGGCTAATAAGCAGAATCTACAAAGTATTTAAGCAAATCATGATCAAACAACTCATTAATAACTGGGCAAGAGACATGAACAGAAACTTTTCTCATGAGGACAGACGAATGGCCAAACAACACATGAAAAAAATGCTTGTTGTCCCAAATATTCAAAAAAAAAAATGAAAATCAAAACCACTTTGAGATATCACCTAACCTTAGTGAGAATGGCCCACATCAGAGTCTCAAAGTTTCAGATGTTCATGTAGATGTGGAAAGAAAGGAACACTTCTACACTGTTGGTGAGACTGCAAACTACTACAGCCTCTATGGAAGAAAGTATGGTAATCCCTAAAAGAAGTAAAAGTAGACCTACTATCTGATTCTATAATACCACTACTAGGTATTTGCCCAAAAGGAAAAAAAAAGACATTTTATCATAAAGACATTTGCACTTGAATGTTTATAACAGCAAAATTCCCAATTGCAAAGATGTGGAAACACCCAAAGTGCCCTTCAATACATAAATGGATTAACAAATTGTGATATATGTATGCCGTGGAGTACTACTCAGCCATAAAAAGATGGAGATTTTGTATCTTTTGTAACAAACTGGATGGAACTAGAGAACATTCTCCTAAGCAAAGTTTCATAAATAATGGAAAAACAAGCATCACATGTACTCAGTACTGGACTGGATTTAGGAGATTAACAACTACATGCTTACATGAGAGAAAAATTCAGTGAAATCCAAATATGAATGAAGAGGAAAAGGCATATATAAATTGTCACTCAATGGGTACATTGCACAGATATATTGCCCACTTCCTGGGTGAAGGACATAACTACAATCAATTTGACTACATAAAAATATTATTTTTAAATGGCAAAAATCATATAATATGCAAAGTCATGCCACTACAACCTAGGGAAACTAACTGAAAGTCATGTCACAGGCAAAGGACCGGTCTCTTTAACTAATAAATACTTTACTGACATTTGAGCAGAAGATGAAGAACTATGCAACAGAAAATTGTTAAGGAACCCTGTGGAAGAATGTTGGATTATTGTGTGCTCATTTGGCTTATTTGTCTTTACCTGATAAAGCAATGCTGCAGAGTCTGCTTCGTTCATGTGGAGGACCCCATTTTTCCCAAAGTGCAAACTGACCCCCAGATCCTATGCCCTGAAATAAATAATGAGAGTTTTTGGTATGTGTTGCCATGTAGAAATTCATATTCAGTTCATATTTTTAAAGTATTGAGTACCTGGCTTAGACCATGGACTATTCGAGTTACAATGAGGGAAGCTATTCCAAAGTCAGCAGCCAAAGGGGTGAGAAGAGCAAGAACCGAAGATGCAAGCAAAGCACAACCAAACACTCGCTTTGTTCCTATTCTTCCAGCCAGGTATCCACTGAGAGCCAGTGTCAGTATCATGCCATAGCTGATAGAGCTGAAGATGATGCCTTGAATTTTGGGGCTCCAGTCATACAAAGGAACCTCAGAGAAAGAGAAAATTTTCTAGTAAAATCTTATATGGAAAAGTTCTTACATTCTCTAAGAAGGTTCTTTAGATCTTTCGCTAGCTTTCAAATTACTGTTTTCTCAATAAAAATTTTTAAACATATAAACCCTAAAAAAAAATAAATATCACACAAACAAACAGCAAAACAAGTGCACCAGTTTAAATTTTGCATTGCTTACCCCTGCAGGAAGACTCTTTGGGGTTTTATTTCCGCCTCCAAGAGAATCAACAGGCAGCCACTCGGTGGAGCTATTAAGCAGGGATTGATGGTCTGTGCTGTTGACCATGGCTACCATGGTGATGTACATGATAATATTCTGTGCTACCAGTGACAAGTTGCAGAAATGTACAATGAGGGCCAACCCATAGCGAGTGGAACATAAGCCTAGAACTGGAAAAATTATGACATCACATTAGAGCTTTTTAAAATGAGCTGACATTAGTTGTTCACAGCTGTAACATAAAAAAGTAGTGCAGATTATCACCTATGATTTAAATGACACTTCTATTGGTTTTAGGAAAGGAAGATACAAAAAGATCATTGAGTTGAACCAGGGCTTTTTATACCATACCTTTATAGAGCCTGACTTACTATAGGGCATTCTGTCTTTCCTGTGATTTTGTCTCTCCCATTCCTAGGTCATCATGTTTATAGTTGATGAAATTACTCACAAGGAAATACATATAACACAAATATACCAAAAGGAAATATATATGAACATGTATGCATATTTAAATTAGTATATATAATTTGTAATATATTACATAAATTTGCATGTGTAATTACATATATATGTAGTGTATGTATATATACACTACATGTATCATATAACATATATGTCATGTATAATGTATATAAATTATATATAGATATATAAAATATAGTTTAAATTTCAAAGAAGTTGTTCCCTGATATAGATGACTATTCTACTCAAATGTTCAGGCATGGAGGACAAAGCTTCATTTAAATTTGGAAATTAATCCCTTATAAAGATTTTCTCACTGGAGAAATTGACACTCACAAACTTTAAAAAATAAAGTGACAAAATACTGGAAAAAGAAATGAGCACAGCATTCACATAATCTGTATTTGCACATCCAGGAAAGATGGCAACTTAAAAACAAACATTTTACTCTCACTTTCTTAGATCCTGGCTGTATTGTCCAAAAAATGTAAAACATAGTGAAATCAGCTCCTGTGATTGAAATTAAATAATAGAATAGTTCAGAAATTGAAATGTGAGAAAAATCAATTAGATGAGATCAAATGGTACAAAAACATCAAAGGCCAGCTCTCTACTCAACTTCTTAAAAAGTCCTGCAGTGTTATATTGAGTAGAAGATATCGTAGTAGAACATAGCTAACAGTCTAATTTGAAGAGCAAATGAAGTATGTGAGGCAGGAAGCTTTATCTATCTCATCTCAGATTTCTTAAAAGAAAAAAAAAAACTTTAGGCAGAAGAGGCTTTTGGAATCCTTTCCACTGCCTTTACTTTTTTTCTTGTGGGAAGAAAAGGGACTTTAATCGAGTTTAGGTAAATAGCGTATAGCTCAGTATCTTCTCCCACTTACCTAGAAGCTCTCTACTGTCCCAGCAGCTATTTAACAGAGCAAGTCTGGGTTTGTAAGTTCACCCCATACCTGGATAGGTATTCTGTTCAATTCAGGGAAATAGCAGGGAGTTGGACTGACCACCCTTCCAAGCCATTTCTGGTCCAGATTTTATATCTTCAATCAATCATTAAACAAAATACTTATTTCTCACCTCTAATATCAGGCCATGGAGGTGTAGCAGAAAACAAAGTAGATAAATGGGTCTGTGTTTGTGGACTTCACATTTTGGGGGGAGCACAAAAATAAGGGAAACAAAACAGTAAATTATATAATGTTTTAGGGGGTGGTAAGTGCTGTGGTGAAAATAAAACAAGAAAGGGCAGAGTCCTAATGACATCCCAGAAAGTTGGCCATGCAGATGTCTGGGGAAAGAGCCCACACTAAGTAGAGGGAACAGCCCTGAGGCAAGATGGCGAGTGCCTGGTGTGTTCAAAGAACCAAAAAGATGTGAATATGACAGAGTGGAGTGAGCCAGAGGTAGAAGAGGAGATGAGAGGAAAGAGAGATAATGGGGTCTGAATCCCTCAAAGCCATGTGGGCCATTGCAGGTACTTTGGATTTTACTTTGAGTGGGATGGAAAGGTTTTGAGGAGAAGTGGGACATGATATGACTTACATTTTGAGGGCATCTCTTCAGCTTCAGAATGGAGAATGAAATGATAGGGAAGAAATGCAATTTGTAAGTTTCTGCAGTAATCCAGGAGAGAAGTGAAGCTAGCTTGGGCTAGAGTGGTGGCAGTAATTGAGGTGTGATAATATCCTAGACAAATCCCAGCATGGGAAAAACACTGGAATTAGAGTTTCAATTTTACAGATGGGCAGAGGGCAAGGGGGCTGGGGATTGAAGAGGTTTTTATTCTAAACAACTAGAAGAATGGATTTTCACTTCATGAAGAACAGCGTTCTGTGGAAACAGGTTTGGGAGGTGGGATGATAAAGAGCCTGATATTGGACATGTTAAAAGAGAATTTCCTCTTAAGCACCCAGGAGAAGGCATTTGGAACACTTTTGGATAGAGTTTAGAAGAGAAGGAGCAGTTGAAGTATAACACTGGGACCTAATAACCTACAGAGGATACTTAAAGCCATGCGAATTGGGAAATAAAATAAATAGAGAAGAGAACAAATATTAACTTTGGGACTCTCCACAGTTTAGAGGATGGATAAATGGGGGAACCAACAAAGGAAAGTGGAAAGGAATGGTCAGTTAAGTGGGAAGAAAACCAGGAGAGTATGGTGTCCTGGAAGCTCAGGGGACAAGAGTTTTACGGAAGAGGGAATCAGTGTGTCAGGTGTTCCTGTTGGGCCACATAACATGATGCCTGAGAATTCATTAACAAAATCCTCACAACATTGTGAGACAGCTATTACTGCTATCCTGATTTTATAAATGAAAAAATAAAGGCACAAAAAGGCCAGCTCACAATGTACCTCAGGTGTCTACCTCTTAATCACTGTATCACGTGTACGTGGTGGCTTGTGTTTTATTCCAGATGATTCCATGAGAATACCTCTGCTACAACCCAAGTGCAACCATCTGTAGGGATTACATGGCTATATGATGTGGGAAGAAAGGATATTCCCTAGGTCTTCAAGAAGATCTCAAAACTTCAAGGAAAGAAGTGTCTTGAGATTAACTTCAAAGAAGCTTCCCCTCAAGGCTATGCTATCATCTCTTTGAAGAAGAGAAGAAGAAATAGAAGAAGAAGAAATTTGGAGGAAACATGCTGAATTAGAGCAGGAACTCAAATGCACTATCTTTGTTAAGGTTTTCTTTCTGATTCAGGGCTAGGTGGTGACTGCCTTTGTCAATCAAATCAACTAGTAATTTGTAAGTTTTTGTGGTCTCTGATTTCCCCAAATTGCATTGGGACTCTGGATGCCAAAGGGTATTAGCATTCCAAGATTGATGGCTTACAAATGAGGATGTTGAACCCCTGCCTCAAGAGGTTGCTCAAAGATTAAAAGAATGGTAAAACATAACTATAGCCTAGAAAGTAGAAGGGAAGAGGAGAAAGAGGGGAGAGGAGGGCAGAGGCGGGAGGAGGGAGGGTTTTGGGGGGACCTCACCTAATGTGCATGATGCAATGATACATTTCAAAACTATTAAGAAAAGAATATAATTGTGATTAATGTGTTAATCAGTTCAATGTAAGCATTTCACATTGTATATCAAATCAGTACACTGAACCCCATAAATGCATCAATGTACACGGTTATGATTTAATAAAAAAAATTTAAAAAGAAGCTTAGCCACATGCTTGCTAGATGTTAAGTATTCCCTATAGACTATTTGTGTCCCTTAAAGTTATTTGTGTCCTGTGTCCATTGTAAATGAATTATACCAATTGTGTCTGCTCTAATGGATTGGTGCTAGTGCTATGCTGACAAGTATTTTCAGTGATCATTCCTTGTTATATGTGAATGTGTGAATTTGTATTTGCATGAGAAAGTGGGAATTTGTAAATATCTTAGGGCATACTATTTAAGCACTGAAAGAGGCACTGACCTCATGGACTTTTGAAACTGGGAGGTTATATTGATAAATTTAATAGTACTTTATTCAAAGTCCCAGATGCTTGTTTTTTCACTTATGTGATAGAGAAACCCTGTGGAGACTCCTGGTAATTACCAACTCATGGTCTTCTCACATTTGTGTAATGCCCTCCCCTTGAGTGAGGGCAGGACCTATGACTTGCTTCTATCTAATAGAATATGGCAAAGGTGGCTCGGGGCCTGTGGCTCAAGCGGCTAAGGTGCCAGCCACATACACCTGAGCTGGTGGGTTTGAATCCAGCCTGGGCCCACTGGACAACAATGATGGCTTCAACAAAAAATAGCCAGGTGTGTGGCAGGTGCCTGTAGTCCCAGCTACTTGGGAGGCAGAGGAGTTGGACGTTGCTGTGAGCTGTGATGCCCTGGCATTCTACCCAGGGTGACAGCTTGAGGCTCTGTCTCAAAAAAAAAAAAAAAAAAAAAATTGCAAAGGTGATGGGATCCCATGATTACATTATGTTATGTAAGACTTTGTCTCAGCAGATTGGGAATAGACACTCTCTCATGGGCTTGATGAAGTAAGCAGAAAGTTGGAGAAACCGACATAGTGAGGAACTATGGATACCCTCTAGAACCTGAGAATGGCCTTCAGCCAAAATCAGTCAAAAGCCAGAGACCTTAGTCATATAGCTATTAGAAAGTTAATTCTTCCAACAACCTGAATAACTCTGAAAGTAGGTTCTTCTTTAGTCTACTATCCAGATAAGAATGCAACTAAGTCAACTACTCAATTGCAACCTGTGAGACCCAAAGAAGAAGAACCAGCTAAGCCAAGCGCCTGGAACTCTGACTCGCAGAAACTATGAGATAATGAATGTGTGTTGTTTTAGGATACTAAGTTTATGGTAATACACTTACAAGAATAGAAAATGAATACAGTTGGCAAAAAAAAAAAAAATACAAAATATTTGATTGACTACACAAGAATTTTTGGTGGGGAGTAAAAGCAGAAAGATATTTGCATTTGTCATGAGACTAAAATGATACAACACCATTGTCTTGAAGAATATGCATAAAAATCTAAGGAACAATAGAAAAACACCCAAAACAATCATGTAATGCATAAAGCTGCAGTCCCCACATCCCAGGCTGCACACTGGTACAGGTCCATGGCCTGTCAGAAAGCAGGCCACACAGCAGAAGGTGAGCTGAGGGTAAGGAAGTGATGCTTCACCTGTATTTATAGCTGTGCCCCATTGCTCGCATCACTGCCTGAGCTCCACTTCCTATCAGGTCAGCAGAGGCATTAGATTCTCATAGGATCAGGAGTCCTACTGTAAATTGGCATGTGAGGGATCTAGGTTGCATGTTTCTTATGAGAAATTAGGGTGGACCTGAGCCTATGATGCTAGCAGTGGGATTATCCTGTTGCAGGAAAACAAGCTCAGGGGTCTCACTGATTCTGCATTATGGTGAGTTGTATAATTACTTTATTATATATTACAATGTAATAATAATGGAAATTAAGTGCACAATAAATGTAATGTGCTTGAATCGTCCCCAAATTATTCACAGTGGACAATTCCACTGTCCATGGAAAAATTGTCTTTCATGAAACCAATTCCTGATACCAAAAAGATTGGGGAATGCTGGTATAAAGGTCGTTGTGGCAATTAATAGGGGAAAGCTAGGTGATTATAAGTACTGCTAAGATCACTGGTTAAATATGTGAGAAATTGGCTAGACACAGTAGCTCACACCTGTCTTCCTAGCACTCTGAGAGGCCAAGACAGGAAGATTGCCTGAGGTCAGGAGAGGAGCCAGAGCAAAAGCAAGACCCTATCTCTACAAAAAACATAAAATTAGCTGTCTGTGGTGGGTGCCTATAGTTCCAGCTACAAGGCTGGGGCAAGAGGATCCTTTGAGCCTAAGAGTTTGAGGTTGTAGTGAGCTGTGACGATGCCACTGCACTCTACCCAGGTGATAGAGTGAGCCTCTGTCTCAAAAAAAAAAGAGAGAGAGAGAAAGAGAGAGAGAGAACAATAATGTTGGAGTATTATTATGTTTTAAATCAAAATAAAACCTAGTTATAATACAATAGTACTACATTTTGTTGAATTGAAGCCATCACTGATTTTAAGATACATTATTTTTGTTCCATTATATGATTGACATTAGCGAAGTTAATAGGTCCAAAATTAAATCTCTGAGGTCCACCATCACCAAACTTGCTTTACTGGAGTCTTTCTCAACTCAAGTGATAGAAATCCCATCCTTTTAAACACTTCGGAATCCTTGATCTGGAACACACTATTGTCTCTTCATTCAACCCCTTCTTGCCAGAGCCACTGTTATCTTTTGGTTTAAGGCTGATTTTGTGTGGTTGTAGCCACCAACATCTCCTGCCTGGATTTTTGCCAATAGCCCTCTGCTTGGTTCCTTGCTTCCAATCTACTCTTAGTATTGCAGTTGGAGCGCTCTCATTATATCAGAAATCAATTATCTCTTCTTCTGTTCAAAATCTTCCATGTAATTTCATTTTTTGTTCAGATGCAAAACTAAAGTCTCTACAGTGGCCAACAGAAATAAAATATGTAAACTTTTGCCTCATAATTTTCCTTTCTTAGGAATAAACCCTGAGGAAATAATTCCAAATGTGGACAAGTGTCATGTTAAAGAATGTTCACATATCACATAGGTGATATAATAGCTGTCATATAGAGTTCATGTACATATAATAGCCAAGTAGCATATATAGTTCATATATGTAAAAAAACAAAAAAACCCACACTTAAATATCCAATCACAAGAAGATTTTCATGTCAATGATACTTCATCTATTAGATATGTTGGAATATAATATGTATCCTTGAAGAACAACATTTGTGACTATTATGAGGCAATATGGAAAAGTATGTTGCCAAGTTTAAAAAGTAGCATGAAGTATGTAGTACAGAACCATGAAAAAATGCATATGAAATGAAGGCAATTAAAAATTATAGTGGTTACCTTAAGTTTATAAAAATCTTTTCATTTTTATAATTTTTGAAATTTCTGTAGTTAGTGTTTCTTACTTTACTTAAGTAATACAATTATGTTTAAAATATTACATGTGATCCACAGAAAAAACAATGTTATGGGTAAACAATTCAGTAGCAATTATCAAGAACATAAATGAATATGGATAAAGATTAGAAGGTAGCTGTCAAAAATAAAAGATCTTTTTTAGAATAGCAGTATTTATACTTGCAAGATGTACATTAAAAATTATTTGATTTGTAAAAAGAATTTAACAACTTAAAAGTTATAAATTCATTTTCTTGTATTAATACTTTGCAGAAAAGAATCTGCTGTAAAGTTCTAAAACCAAGCAGTTAAGATTTAATTTACCTTTCCCGGGGAGCTTCTTGTCCACTTGCATATCTTGAGAATGCTTACTCTCCCCTCTGGTGAGCCTCAACTCCGTCATGGTGGACATTGTGTTTCTCCTTGCCTGGTGAATGGTTTTCACCTATCAGAATAATATGTAATCCACAAGTGTCACTCAAGCGACAGGGACTCCTTTAAAACATTTAAACAGGGCACCAAGAAAACAGAAGTTTGCCCATTCCATCTGGTTGGGGTATAGGGAAGTTCATTGTCCCCTCTTGGTTCAACTTAACAGGTATGCTGCCCCTAAGGTTTGGGACTGTTTATTATTTAGGATCTAGAGTATTCACCGTGTGCCAGTTTATGAGTGCTGGCTGTGGAGGTAGGCATTCCCAAGCTCAAGCCCAGACTGGTGTTTTATCTAGTGTGCCAAATGACACCAGAAGTAAATTTATGTACTTTAGTTTCCCTATCTGTTGTTATTTATTTAGACAGTCTCATTATATCATCCTTGGTTGAATGCTGTGCCATCACTGCTCACAGCAACCTCAAACTCTTGGGCTTAAGCTATTCTCTTGCCTCAGCCTCCCAAGTAGCTGGGAATACAGGCACATGCCACAGCACTCAGCTATTTTTTTGTTGAAGTCGTCATTGTTGCTTTTTAGCTGGCTTAGGCCGGGCTTGAACCCGCCAGCTTCAGTGTATGTGGCCAGTGCCCTACCTACTGAACTACGGGTGCTGCCCTGTTTTTAATAACAACACCATCTTCATCAAAAAGTTGTTGTAAGGCTTAAATAGATTGCACATGCCAAGCACAGTGTCAGGCACTCTAATACATCTACTTGCATAATACTGTATTATTATCATTGTTACTGAGCTACCACTTCATGGCTGTGCTACTCTGGAATCCTCTACCTGCACCTGAGAACCTGGCCTCTACTGCCCCTGACAACTTCCTCATTAGAGCCACCGTGAGTGTTGCGGATATGTGTACCACTAATCACTGGGGGCCAAATTTGCATAAGGAGATGGAAACATTCAAATCCCATATTATTATTGTCCACAGTTTGATGATATATCTATAGACATCTAAAACTACCTAACACAGAGGCCCTGACCTTTCTACTTATTAGGATCTTTTTTTCCTTTTGAGACACAGTCTCGCCCTGTCACATTGGGTAGAATGCCATGGTGTCATAGCCCACAGCAACCTCAAACTCCTGGGTTTGAGCTGTCCTCTTGCCTCAGCCTCCCCAGTAGCTGGGACTTTATGTGCCTGCCAGAATGCCCAGCTAGTTTTTTTATTTTTAGTGGAGCTGGGGTCTCACTTTTACTCAGGCTGGTCTTGAACTCCTGAGCTCAGGCAATCTACCCACCTTGGCCCCCCAGTTATTAGGATCTTTTAATACTCAAGGGGATTATGTGTTGCTGTGTGCTATGTTTGGTTCTCAGTTGGTTAAATTTATCAATCTCTTAAAAAAAATCTCAGACATATAACCACATATGTGTATGCTCCTAATAAACCAAATGTGTTGGCCTAATATATTAAATCATTAAATCACCTAAACACTAGTACTTAGCCAGAACTGCTCTGATACCATTGTTACAAAATGGGGAATGACATGTTAGTATCTCTTTATAATAAAAGTTTCATTATGCAGAGTTGTGGAGTTTTTTTCTTTTTTGGCCAGTGAGCAGCCCCTTTGCTAGGTCATACAGTTGGACTCTTTCTGGCAGTTGCGCTCATGAGTGTTGCTTCTCTTTGCTACTGTCAAACAGTGAGTAGTGATAGAGATGGTTGCTCTTTTCTTTTCTTGGATCCCACTTTTCCTCAACTGCTTGACCTATATGCAGAACCCAAATCCATTCATACTTATGTAAATAAATTTTACATGTAGGTATATGTACTTATAAACGAAACAAAAATCATGGACACACTTCCGTCTATTCTCCTCTACATATTAATTTATCTGTAAGACATCTGTAATGATGTCACTGTCTTTTTGTGTTATACCTATTGTATTAGTACTTTTTTACTTTAGTGTCTCCTTTTTAAAGAATCACTATGAAATCATGACTTTAAATGGTTCAATTTCAGTGTGATTAAAGTTTTCTTTTCATACTAAAACTATCCTACATGACTTAGCATCAGGTTTAAAGTGTGGCCTTGGATGTCTTTGTTTCTTGCCATTTTGTTCCTTTAAACAGCTTTATTGAGGTATAACTGAGATACAATAAACTGCACTTAAAGTTTACAATTCCATAAATTGTGAAGCATATATACATCTGTAAGACAGTGCAATCAAAATAGTGAATATATATAGTTAGCCCTCTGTATCTCTAGATTACACATCTGCAGATTCAACCAATTGTGGGACAAAAATATTAGGTTAAAAAAAAAAGAAGAGAAAAATAAAAAGCAACAATACAACCATAAAAAATAATTCACATTTAAAATACAGTATAACAACTATGTACACAGCATTTACATTGTAGTAAATATTATAAGTAATCTAGAGATAATTTAAAGTATATGAGAGAGTACATAGGTTATATGCAAATACTGTATCATTTTATATCAAGGACTTGAGAATCTATGGAGTTTGGTATCCAAGGGGGTCTAGATCAATCTCCTGTGGATATCAAGGGAGTGGGGTGCAAATGTACATTATTTCCCAAAAGTTTTCTTGTATCCTTTTGTGAGAGCCAAACTAGCTCCATTTTGTTGTTCACAGCACAAGCTCCATTCTTGGCTGTTTACAGCACAAGCCCCATTCCTGGCTGTTTACTGCATAAGTTCCATTCCTAGCCCCTCTGCCCCAACCTCTGCCAGTGAAACCTGCAGGGCCACTCCCTGCTGCCTCTCCCCCACCCCAGGTTGCACAGCCACTGAGCCGTAAACTGAGTCACCTTAGGCAAACAGCTGCTATAATAAACAATAAGTTTCTATTACCTAGAAATACAGGTAATCAGGCTGCACCAACTCTAGCCCCCGGTTAAGGGACCCCCCCACCCCTCACCTGTACCAATCCAAATTCACCTTTACTAGTGAAATCATCAGCTACCAATGCAAATCCTCCTTTACTTCCTCCTTTACTAATGAAATCACCAACCACCAATGAAAAGTATACTCGTATCCGACCCTACCCCTCTTGCTTTCTGTACCCCATAAAAACTTCCTCCACCCCAGGTTCAGGGCTCCTCCTCGGTGTGTACACTAGGAGAGTCCAAACCCGGGTTTGAATAAAACCTCACCTCATGCCTTTTACATTGGAGTGTGTCTTGAATTCGTCTGTTGGGGCTGTTTGAGAGAATTTTCGGACCTAACACTATTGTAACATCCCCTATTCTCTTTGCTATACTACCCCTGGCAAGCAGTGATATGCTTTCTCTGATACAGCTTAATTTGTGTTTTCTAGAAATGGAATCATACAATATACACTCACTTTTTTCCTGATTTATTTCACTCAGTATAATTATTTTGAGATTCATTCATGTTATACATATTAATAATGTCTTATTTATTATTTGGTAATATTCCATTGCCTGATTATAAGACAATTTGTCTATCCACTTATTTTTTTTGGCAGAGGCCAGGTTTGAACCTGCCACCTTCAGTATATGGGGCTGGTATCCTATTCCTTGAGCCACAGGCGCCACCCTATCCATTTATGTTTTGATTACAAATTGCATTCTTTTCAGATTTTGACTATTACAAATAAAGCCATTGTGAGCATTCATGCACAGGTCTTTGTATAGAATGCACTTTCATTCTACTTAGGAATGGAATATCTGGATCATATGATAAGTGTATGAATACCGTTTTAAGAAAATGGCGAACTGTTTTTGAGAATGGTTATCCCGGTTTACATTCCCACTAATAGTATATGAGAATTCCAGATCCTTTATATATTTACCAATTTAGTATGATCAGTCTTTTAAATTTTACACATTTTCAAAGGCATGTAGTAATATTTCATGTGATATTAGTTTGCATTTCTCTAATGAAGTTGAACAGATTTTCATGGATTTATTTGTCATCAATGTATCTGCTTTAGAGAAATATTTCTTTAAATCTTTGCAATGGACATTCTAATTCTATGGAGTGGCCAGGTCATTTAAAAAATAGGCCTTCATTTCTAGGGAAATTGCTCTAGTCGGCTGTTATATAGAAAGAACTCTTGGAAATCCTTCATATCAACAGCAAAATAAGTGACTTACCGACAATGTCTGAGGAAAGGCTTCCAGATAGACTCTGTGTTTCCTCTAGCCTTGCTCCCCTAATCTTCTTGCTTGAGGCAGACAGCTGAGGATTCTTTGCCACCCTAGGACTTAAACGGTTAATCATTAATGAATTCCTGGAACAAGAAGTTGATTGAGAAGGGCCCTTGCCAAGTGCTTTTTAGGGAAGTTTTCAGAAAGGCATACCCTCTGATTATGGAATTCTGAGCCCCTCTGCTCTTCCTCCTGCTTTTTTTTTCTTCCCTGTAAGGCAAAAATGAAACAAAGTTTATGGAGGAATAGAAAGATAGGTTAATAAATTAAGAGCAAGATTACAAAGCAAGATACATTTACCATAGACCAGGGGATAAACATCCATTGTCATGACAAAAAGGCCAAGGGGCAGAGGCAATAAGGCCCCTCTTGCTTTTTGGCTACTATAAGGTGACCAGATTTTAACATTGGTAAAGCAGGACACCATTGGGGGGAGGGGGGGTTGTGGCGTGGGGGGCGGGGCCTGACAACAATGCAAACTTTGATAAGCAGTTCTGGATAATCAGTTCTCAACAATTATTTGTTATTATTAAAGTTTAACATTATAAAATTAACAAAAATAATATAAAATGCATATCCTGGCGAAATAGCCACATGGCAGCCAAAAACCAAAAACTGTATATTCCCTTCCTGTTCTCCCGTGTTCCCTAGCTTGTCCTGCATTCTTTCCAAAAATCGGAGCTTTTCTAAAATGCTGCAGGATGCAGGACAAATTGTTAAAAATCGGGACTGTCCTGCCAAAAGCCGGATGTCTGGTCACCTTACTCTAGAGAGGGGGGGCTACTTGTTTGTTCCAGACAGTTTGGCTCCT